AATCCAGTTCTTCTTGTCAGTAAGTCCAGACCCTTATATTGGCAGTGGTGGAACTCAAGATCCTGGTTGTCTGGAGTATTTTAGGACGCATATCATTTAAAGCAAAGCATACTCAGACATTAGCTTTGTTTGTTATGGCACTATATACAGAAAACACATATGTCTATAGTTTTTCTAAGCTGGTTGTACATCAGATATGTGCACCTACCCTGTGTGTACTGCATAATGCTGCAGATCTGTTGCACCCTAGAAGTATACCAGTGGTCATCTAGTTACTGAAACCTCTGCAAAAAACAAATCTGATTGTTGCTATGTTTGCCAGTATCACCATGGTGTCAGAGGTGGTTCTTATTTCTTGCTATTCCCATATCACACAATTCCTGCTTTCAAGAGTGTGTTGCACACATTGTCTTTCCCATATCCTGCAGTACTTGAGCTACAGCTTTGTGATGGTGCAACCTGAAAATGAGGAGTTTGGGAAAACGGAACTGTGTCCCTTGAGTTCATGAAAGTAGCCAGTGGTTTATTTCTGAAACAAATTCAACTGTAGGTTGCCTTTACATTTTTTTCTTCTTCCTGTAAAGTTCTTGAACTGTCAGATTGAGAAAAGCTCCCACTTCTTTAACCTTCTGGGCCAATCTAAAATATGTTTACATGGAAATGGTGCATCAAATGGAAGAAAATTAAAATGGAGTTATGACAGTCATTCCAGATGGAATACCTAAAACAATGTGTCTTTCACTAGCATAAAGCCATGGGCCAGAAACAGAGGGTTGATAAAAGAAAGCTTTATGCCACAGATTCATTCCTCATTCACACTATAAGCACAAAAACAATGCAGAATATACAGAGTTGACTTGAAAAGGCATTTGCCTCCAGGCAATATATTGATTCGAGGTACTTGTGTTTAAGTCACATAAAACACAAAGAACAGGACTATAATACAGTAACTTCAATAGCATAGATGGTATAGGACTGCGATGACTGTTACAACTGAAAGGAACATCATTAACTAGAAAACAAGTGGCAGCATGTGCTCTAGTACCAAAATGATGGACAGTGAGAAAATCTACTTGTTCTACCATTTCCTCTTAGGTCATGAAAACAGCATAATGGAGAACTATTGTCCTCAAAACAGTGATCTCTCCACTCATATTCTTTAGCAGAATGTCTGAATGTCTACAGTTTTCGCCAATGTTCACCCCTGTAGTTGAGATATGTAAAGAGTAGTTTTATCAGTTCCACCTCCAAGTGAGCTTCTGTGAGCAAGTAGGGATTCAAACATAAGTCTCCTGTGTCATCCTTTTCTTTATCCACTGTGCCATAATAGATATTCTTGGTGTTAACATCTGTGAAATTTCCAAAGGAAGCAGCTATTTTCTGTGTTGCAAAAAAAATCTGTGAGATTTCTACTTCACAAGGAGCACCAACTATTTTTCTACTGTTTTGAAACATTTGGATCTGGTTCTTGGAAAACAGGAGGCTAGCTCAGGGTCTGTGACCAACTGGGGCACTGATAGACATGTCTCTTCATTGCACTGTGATAGGGCATCCTCTTTGCATTAGTATTTATATTTATGGTTCTACAATAAGCAAGGGATCTGGAGTTTATTTGGAAGTCAGCAAATCGGATGCAGAATGAGAGATGCCTCTGTGGGAAAAGTGATGATAAGTAAAACACCTTTATTGGACTTCAGTTGACTGCAGCAGGAAAAATAATGCTTCTCTCAGTGTGACAGTCAGGCAGCTGTAATGTTTTTCAACTTCAGCTGCAAGTTCGTCGCTAGCATTCTAAATATTATCTGTGTGCCTGAAGAAGAAATATTGGTCTTCTGTTCAGTAATATCATACCATAGGGGTGCTGCATACAAGCTGCCCTACAGTAACATGATTTCCATGATGTTCCCCCTCTTTGATCAGTGCACTGCATCCTAAAACTGAAATGAGAGAGACTAGCTAGATCTCTTTCTTGAGCCATAGCTTACCTCATAGGTTAAAAAAGAATAACAATTTCAATCAAGAAAAATATTTCTTTTTATATCATAATTAATATTTGTATAAAACAGTCAGATAAGTTTCAAATTGTACTCCACCTCAGGTATCACTCTTCAATTGATTAGAAAATTTAACTATGTTTTCCCTACATGCGAGGTGGTGATATCTGGTTAATAAATGCAAAGAGAAGTGATAAACTTTGACCCATCACTATTTTTATTTTACTTGCATTAGGTCATTAGCCAGCATTTCAAACATTTGAGCTGCTTCATGTGGTAGGCATTTTGGATAGCAAAAAAAGACTTGAACGATACATAAGATTGGTCCAGATACCTACTGCTACCTCAGGATCACACCATTACAAATGCTGATGCTGTCAAGTCCTTAAAATACTTATCATCTCTGTGAGGAGTGGGAGCAAGCGTCAGCCTGCCAGCTCTACCTTCCCACCATTGTCACTCTCCATTTGTAGAAACCCACTGATTGCTGTAGAGCAGGGATCCCCAACCTCGGACCTCCACATGTTCTTGCACTACAACTCCCAGAAACTTTCACTACCACCTCTGCTGGCCAGGATTTCTGGGAGCTGAAGTCCAAAAACATCTGGAGGCCCAAGGTTGGAGACCCCTGCTGTAGAGGCTTTATTCTCACTATGGAATCAAAATAGGCACAAAGCGAACCATGAACTAGGAAAAAAAAAAACCAAACTTGGCTGGTTCGTGGTTTAGTTCACAACCCAATTTGAGGATTCTGTTTTGCCAAAATGTAGCAAAGCACTGAACGTTTTCCCCTTTGGTGCTTCATTTTGCTTCTGCAAAAAACAGATACCCACCCATTCCCTTCCCACTGCCTCCATCAGTTTCCTGTCCGGGGCTGCCACCTCCACTGCCACTTCCACCTCTGCCACTGCCATCACCATCAGAGACAGTGGGCCAGCTTCTCTTCCAGATACCCGTAGTGCAGCTGATCAGGACAATCAGCTGGGGGAGACAGTTGCTTACACATAGACAGTGCCTGGACTCATGGAAGAGAAGCTGGTTGCTGCCTCCTGTGCATGCCCACATCCCCCAGCTGATCAGGGTGACCAGCTTGGGATTGAGTGCCTGCACAGAGGCAGTGCCCAGGCTCCTCATTGTCACGTCACTATGCAGTGGCAGCAACAATGTGTGGCGGGGTGTTCAACAGTGGCGGGGCAGTGGCGGCAGCTGCAGTGGCACAATAAGAGCAGGTAGCCCCCTCCCCGGCCAGGCATGAAGCAAAAAACAAACTGCGAACTGGTTTGGTTTTTCTGATTGGTTTGTGGTGGTTCATCATTCATGGCCAACCACACACCATTATGAACCACCATTTTTCAAGTTTCTGCCCATTTCTGCTGTGGAGTCTCTCTGTGCATTCTGACAAAATCAGGATGAGGAAGGTAGGGTAAACGTAGCAAAATCTTCCCTGGTCACCTTCCTTTTATGAAGAGGTTGGAGACATTTGAATGTTTGAAGGAGGCTTCATTGACTGTCAAATGTATAAGTGACTTGAATATTTAGGTGGTGGCAGACAGCAGTGCCAGTTATATAAAGCAGCCAGTGCTACTTTCCACACAGCTGGCTGAGCCCAGAGGCCTGGTTCTCAAAAACTCTTCCTCAGATCCAGACACCTTGGTCACAATGTTTGGCTTCTAGGACCACTCGGATTGGTGCCTGGCTGAAAGCAGCATTTTGGTCATTTCATCCAGCGAATTCTCTGGAGCAGCCAGCAGAGAGGAATCTTGCTTCCCCCCCCCTCCTCCAAATGTAGTCCCCGCCTCTGTTGTTCATCCAGAGTCACAGCATCACACATGCCTTGATGAAGGAAGGGACATTGAGAGCTGTCCAGTCCTTAGAAATGGGACAGTGGATATATTAGAAAGGACCTGAGCATGAAAAGGCAAAGGAAAGGGTAAACAAAGGAACTCGCAACCCAAGGAGTTTTTCAGGAAAAGTGGAAGCTGTCCTATATCAAGGTGCAGTCACACAGCGGGGAATGTATACTTAATTCTGCTGTGATCTGCAGATTTTCAAAGCAATTCTCCACTGGTTTCCATGGGTGAAATTGCCATAGATTTAGTACCATTAGTATTAACTACAGTACTAGTATTAACCTATTAATCTTACTGTATCAAGAAGTTAGAGGCAAGGTTCAGGCGGAAGCCTCTCCCCATCCCACTTGGAACCTGGAATGCATAGATATTCAAGACAAACCCCACCATTGAGCTACAGCCCTTCACTACTTATGGACTGGGAAGTCCATCTGGATTTCAAAGAGCAGAAGTTGTGAGTTCAATTGCCTGTTGTCCCTCCTGTGCGTAGAGCCAGCCTGGGAGGCCTTGCACAAGCTGCATAGTTTCAGAATGTCCCAGGAGAAGGGAACAGTAAATCACTTTTGAGTACTCCCTACCTAGAAAACTCTATAAACCTCTCCCCATCCCACTTGGAACCTGGAATGCATAGATATTCAAGACAAACCCCACCATTGAGCTACAGCCCTTCACTACTTATGGACTGGGAAGTCCATCTGGATTTCAAAGAGCAGAGGTTGGGAGTTCAATTGCCTGTTGTCCCTCCTGTGCGTAGAGCCAGCCTGGGAGGCCTTGCACAAGCTGTATAGTTTCAGAATGTCCCAGGAGAAGGGAACAGTAAATCACTTTTGAGTACTCCCTACCTAGAAAACTCTATAAAGGGTGACCATTAGTCAGAATATGATAGGACATGATGATGATGATGATTAGAAACTGGATCACAGTTTAAAATGAGAAAAGTGTCAGGAGTATGAAAAACAGAAATAAAACACACAATGTTTTTTGTGATGCTTTGCCTTTAATGCAACTGTAATGCAAAAAGCATGGCCATAAATATAATACAGCCAAGGGGAGAGGAAGAAAATAAACTTCTGCTTTCCAAACAGCAGCAACAGCTAACCATGTACTATAGTTGCGAAGTTGAGATTCAGAGGTAGATTTAAAGCTTCTGTTTTTCAAGAATTCTACTGCAAGAGCTTCCAGGATGCTGTCACTATTTCATTTCAATCATCTGTAGGAGAGAAAAAACAGACATCATTTCACTAGGTAGAATTTCTTGTATAAAGTTCAAAGGATTTTAATGCAATTCCATTGAAAAAAAATGTGGGCAGAACAATGGTTTTAATTAATGATAGCTTTAATTAATGCACAGCTGATGCCATTGTTTGAGCATATTGACAATCTTGTAATTAACTCAATTAATGTCACACTGGAGGCAGACCAATATCCTGCAACTAACTAATGTTCTTCAGCCAAATATTTTGTTATGTCTCATTGTTAATGGGAAAAAGTCAAAGTCTCATGTTTCGTAGTGAATAGAACTTCCATACAAATACATTACTCACCCATGATAGTAACACCACTTGGCATTTTGGATCCTGCCGCTAAAGCAGCACCCTTTACTTTCACATGTTCGTTTACTGATCCCTGGATAACCACAGTCCCGTCTGTTCCTTGGAGCCACGTTGCAACTTTTTCTTCCTACATTAGAATAAAAATACTGAATCCAGGTTCAAAAGAGAGTTAGCTTGCCATGGTAATTAGAACTCTTGTAAGAGGTTGGGTTGTTGTTTATCTTAGGATTTGATCCTGCTGACAATAAAACCCGCTTGTTGTATGGATCCTGCTAAACAGAGATATAAATTTATGTTTTTTATATTCATAAATGTAAATATATATTTACATTTTAGGATACACATGAGGTATGTGCATGTGCAGAGTATTATGCCAGGGGAGTGAGGTTTTCTGTTTATTTGGGGGCAGATGTGGAATCGATTCCAATGAATTGATTCATTGGAATTGATTCTGCATATGTGAATGCCCCATCTGCTGTTTTTAAATAATTTCTGCTATCTGATATAGTGCTAAACAAGATAACGGGGGGGGGGGGAAGGAAGG